TCAACATTTAAATTCACTAAGCTAGTATTTTTGTTAAGGAGACCAACAATATTAAAATTAAAAGACTAAAAATACATTTTATAAATTTAGGAGACAATTAAAAATTGCTGCAAATTTAGAAGACTAAACATATATATTAACCATAAAATTATTAGTATTATAATAGTACCGTAAAATTTTATAGTTTTTCTTGCTAAAACTGAAGTAATTAATTTATTCGTATGGTCATGGGTATTTTTGTGCCTACTGAAAAAAATATATGGTATTTCCATACTTCAGTTAAATGTTTATGGGTACTTTTACGCTTTTACACTTCTTTGATTTTTTTTTTTTTTGAGTAAGGGGTATTTTTGTACTTTCCTAAAATTAATGTGGGCCCCACTGCAAAAAATAACATTTCTTCGTGAAATTTAACGGTTGTTAGGAACTTATCACGGAGACTACATCATTGGGAATTAGTTTTGGTACTCATCCAACTTTATCATATTTAAACCATTCAGATCTAATGTGAATGGTTTGGATTTAATTTTTTTATTTTTATTTTAGTAAAAATCATTTTTAAAAAAAAAATGATAGTAGTTAAGAGATTATTTTTGTTTTAGATTTTACTCATTAAAATAGTTATTTAAAAAATAAAAAAAAAAAATTAAATCTGGATCATTCGAATCAGATCTAAATAGTCCAGATACGATGAGCTTGGGGTGCTCATCACTCTGATGAGCACCGAAACTAGTTCTCCAATGGTATAGTCTCAATTACAGTTTCCTATAAGATTTTTTTTTAAAAAAAAAAGATAATACTTATATCAAGTTTCTTATATTCATTGTGTCAAGTTCACCAATCACATATGATCATGTATCTTATTTTTGAAATATTAGTATAATAGTATTTAATTATAAATCCATGTGAAATTAAAAAAGGACATATGGTCATGTATAATTGGAAAATTTTACATAATGGATATAAGAAACTTGATCTAAGTTTTTTCTTAAAAAAATTAGTCAACGTTAGTTAAATATAAATTGCAGTTATGAATTTGTAATTTTATTAAGTATTAACCATGAGAATTTAATTTATTCCTGACCATTAGATGATGATCGCCTAGAATAAAATGAAAGCATGAAATAAATAAACGAAAATACTGTTAAACTTTATGGTTTTGATAAGCTCATTACTCAGAAAGCCTAAAAGAAAAAGTTTTATTAATAAAAAAATTGTAGAAGAATAAATTATTTAATGTTGGTTATTAATTTACTTTAATTTAATTAATTATAATTATTTCCTTAATTTCAAATTCAAATTAGCTTGAATTAATTATAATTTGTGGTGTAAGATTATCAATTTGATCGGCAATTTACATTGGAATATATAATTTCACATCAAAGTGACGCATAAAGGAGAAAAAAGAATGAATTAGATGCCTAGCTATCGTGGCTTTTTTTATGCTCAGTTATTTCGAATTCATTATTCTTCTAAGGTTAAAACTAGCTTCATCTCTCTTCAAAGTATTAAAAGTCGGATTGGTCACTAAATCGGTCAAAGAAGTAGTTTAAGAGTTAGTAGGTAAGATAGAAATCAATTCGGAGTTAGATCAGCCAATTAAAATAATTTAATTTAATTAAAATTATTTATATTTAATAATGAATGTTTTTAATTAAAATTGAATTGTGATTCCAAAAGGGCTTTTGAAGGGTAAATGAGGCATATCATATTTAAAATGAGTTTCCGAAGAGTTTTAATGGTCCGTTCTGGTGTAGTTTCGTTTTTGGACTAACACTGTCTACTGCGTTGGCTTTAAGTTTTTGTCTTATTTTTCTTTGATATGGTGAGGGCCCAAATCCAGTCCAAAGAAATCAAAAAATGTTATCCCATCCTTTTCTTACATTCTACCGCCACCAACCACCAATCCCCATTTGATTTTCACTGACAATCTTATCCCTTTCTAACCCTTGGACAAACCTCTTCAGCGTGCTTTCATCTCTACTGCAACACAACTTATTCTCATTGGCATTTTTCACCCTTTGGTCTTCCGATCCCCTCTTCCTTTTCTTCTCATCCTTTCTTCTTATCTTATTTACACATCCCTTATCTTTTTTATTTTCCTCCGCTTTTTTTACCTCATCTGATAATTTAGTACTCGTTTGGCATTATTTATATAAGTATTTATAAGCACATTTTATATAAATCAAGACAAAACTCACATATTTATTTTGTATTTTATAAATCATGGTTGAAATCATTCCAAAATTGTCTTGTTATCTTGAGATCTTGCAACACGACCCTTCCTCTTATGGTTCCTCGACCATTTCGGAGTCTCTCATCACTCGTAGATGGTAAAATCAATTTATTTATTATTGTCCCTATATTGTTAGACTTAGCCAATTATATTCAACAAATCTTTTAGAAAATCATGTCCACGTCCTATTTTAGTTAACCTAATAATCAAGATCCAAAGTCACAAGCCGTGGCCAGTTAAAAGTCAATTAGTCCAAAATATGATTTAGCCTAACAAACTACTTTACCACAAAATAACATACAAAACACCAAATATTGGTAACATATTATCAATGTATAACACATAATTTTACTCTGGAAGCCAGAATTAATTTAGTCCTCAACAAAATGAAAAACAAAGAAAACAAGTACATGGGAAACAATAAGAAATAATTGCAAGAATTAAATTTGTCGAATTAAATTGTAGAAATTTAATTTTAAATGAATCAAAATTATAACAACTGAGTCAAAGTTTCAGCTCAAAACTATAGGAGAAAATCATTAATTTTTTTTGAATTACTTTTATCACTGTTTTCTATTACTATGCCTACCACGAGCCAGGAGTATTAGCTGCGCTCGAAGCTGCCCCTCAATTTTGCTGCTCTCTCCAAATATTTTTTTCAGCTTTTTTTCATCATTAGATTCTATATAAAATAAGTGACGTTTTTATATATATCTTATTTGTAAAAAAATGATTTAGTTTTCAACTTTTTACTATTTTTCAAATATTTAACATTACCATTCTCATCTTTAAATTGCTAAAACTCTTTCCAGCAAGTAGACAGCAGGTTTCTTTCCTCTTTAACTTTTCAAAAGAAGTGGACACTACGAAAAAATTTGACTTTTAGCGGCGACTTTTAGTTTTCAGTGGTGACTTGTCGTCGCTGAAAAGTCATTGCTGTAGCAACTGTGGCTGAAAACTTTCAGTGACGACTTTTAGAAGTTTCCTCGGCAACATTCTGAAAGAATTTTCAGCGGTAACAAAAAGGGATGTTTAGCAGCGACTTTTTTGTCACCATTGAAAGTGATGCCGAAGAAAAATTGGTTTTACCAACGACACGTCATCACCGCCGGCCGCCAAGTCATCATCGCCAGCTGCCACGTCATCACCGTTAGCCGCCACGTCATCACTAGCCATATCCACCTCATCACCAACCAGGTGCCATGTCATCACTAGCCAACTCCACGTCATTGCCACATCACTCCTCCCTGCCACGTCATCGTCCAAATATTTTCACCTTAAATGTGTCTTCTTCAAGCTTCGAACTCGTAATCACCTCCTTTCTTGTCCAATCTTCTTGATGCTGAGCCAGATTAAATTTGTTTATTACTATTATAAAATAAAATATATATTATTATATTACACTTTCAGTGACGACATTATAAAGTCGCTATTGAAAGTCAAACCTTCAGCAGCGACACTAATAGTCGCCCCTGAAAGTGAACCCAGTGATTACAGCACCTTCCGCTCAAAGGTATACTTTCAGTGGCGACATTCTATGGTTGCCGCTGAAAGTCAGTCCTTCAGTGGCGATCATAGAATGTCGCCGCTGAAAGTGAACCCAGTGCTTATATCACCTTCTGCTTAAAGGTATATTTTTAGCAGCGACAAAAAAAGTCGCCGGTGAAAGTCTTAGTGTCGCCGGTGAAAGTCCACTTTCAGCGGTGACTTTTTTTGTCGCTACCAAAAGTTGTCGTCTAAAGTTCTTTTTTTTTGTAGTAGGAATACAGATAACAAGTGGGACTATAGAAGATTTCTTTTGTTTTTTCGTTATTTGTTTTTGGATCTTTTTTTTTTTTTTTAAGGGGTGTAGTATAATTATAAGCCTTCTTCAAGGAGTGTCCTGTGTATTGCTGAGCAGATCGAGCAGATCAACTTTCTTTTCTGCTTCAGATCAGCTTGTCATTCTTGCGCGGATCTGTTGTTTCCTGAATGGCAGAAGCAATTCATACTGACATTAAATGGGAGATGCCTGATGACATGAATCAACAAGACTTGGCCTCTAAGACTGCTCAACAAATGGTGGCGCCTGTAGATTTATCCTCCAATAATTTGCAGCAGCAACAAGAGGCATGCATCATCCTTTACTGCTCTTTCTTCTATTCTGAACCCTTTTCTTATTTTCTTTACTTCTCTTTTTGCTTATTATTTTTTAAGGTAACTTCTGTTTAATTAATTCCTCAATTATTACTACACTTCTAAAGATATACACTTGTCAGATTGCAAGTATGCATCCTGTGCTTTTCATTCGTGATGATGCCTTTTCTTAATTTTGTTACACTCTGTTTAATTTTTTCGCACCTTTTTAGATTCATTGGAGCCTCTCTCTCTCTTTTTTTTTTTTTTAAAATCATTTTCTTAATTGTTCTTAACAAACGGTGATGCAGTTATTAAAACATTTATATTTCCCAAGCTTTAGGGTCACCTTCATTATATTGCTTTGTTAATGTGCAATTTCTGCTTTCCTTCTGAATCTAAATTGATTTATTATATGTAGACGGAAGATGGGGTGATCAAAATAGACATAAAAGCATTGACAGAGATTAGTGAACATGGTCTCTTGTCCCCTTTGCGCTGTATCTACAAGGTGCCCCCAAAGATCGTCTTCTAAAAGAAGAAGATTACGCTCCTGTGATCGTTTCCATTGGTCCTTTCCGGCGATGTAAGGCTGCAAGATATGGAGAGGCACAAAGAAATAATGTTTAAAAGATTTGCACAAAACGCTATGATAGACTTGGACACTTTGGCTGACTTAGCAAAACAGTCTGAGCCAATGGTCCGTGCTTCTTATCTTGAGAGCATCAACTATAGCAAGAAGGATTTTGTGAAACTGATATTAGTGGATTCTGCTTTCATCATTCAACTCTTTACTATGAAACACAGAGGTCACATGAAACACGATGCTAAACTATCACAGTCATGGTTGGAGGATGACGTAGATAATGATTTACTTTTACTTCAAAATCAACGTCCATTCTTTTTCCTTGAAGAGCTATACAATATAGCATTTCCTTGTAACCATAGAGGCAATCTCCCTTCATTTCTTGAGCTTACATATCCCTTCTTTGACTATCTTAACATGCAAAGGTTAGAGTCTAATCACAAGAAAGAGCATTTCACAGATCCTTTGAGATTATTTTACTTATCGAGAACCCATCCAATAAGGGATCGATTCAAAGGGGATGGACCCGATAGGCTCATGTATGGTGCAAACGAGTTATAAGAGGCAGGAGTGAAGTTGAAGGTGAGCACAAGCAAGTGCTTACTAGACTTGAAGTTTTCAAGATATGTTCTAGAGATTCCTCAAATTCATGTCGAAGACGGGACTGAAACTTTGTTCCGTAATTTGATAGCTTTAGAACAGTGTCATTATCCTTGGGAATCATATTTTACTGACTATATTTATGTATTGGATAGCCTAGTCAACACAAATAAAGATGTGGAGGTTCTCGCTCATAAATAGATTATCCACAACTGGCTAAGTAACACCAATGAGGTTGCTACGTTATTTAATGGTCTTTGGAAAAATATAACTCAACACAATGTCAATGTTGAATACCTTGACATCTGCAGAAGGTTCAGTAAGTTTTATCAAGATCCATGGCATAAGAGAAAGGCAACTTTGAGGAGAGATTACTGCAATACACCCTGGCAAACCGTGGCTTCTTTTGCCGCAATCATACTCCTCATTCTCACTATCGCTCAAACTACATGTTCCATCCTCCAAGTAGTATAAAAGTAGCAACCTACATTTGAAGGTTGATAGTATATTTTAGTGTTCTGTCCTTAAAAATTCATGTTCCCTTTACTGCTGCACCATCTGTATAACAACAACAACAACAACAACTGCAATCCTCATTCTTCGTTTCTGTTTTTTTTTTTTTTTGGGGTTACTGCACCAGGTGAATTTGAAAGATACTCAATCGGAGCAGCATGAGACTAGTGAGACTAGAAATGGATAGATGAGCTTATTTGTAGATGGCGCCCATTCTCATCTAACCGGACAAGCGAGCTGTGGGGGATTAATCACGTACCACAATGGAGCCAGACTGGCAGCTTTTATGTTCAACTTGGGAGCTGGAGATGCACTAGCAACAGAGATTTGGGCTTGTTTAATGGCAATGAAATCTGCATGGGATGCTGGGCTCTAGATCTGATATGTGGAGGAAGAAGCGAAGAGCAAGAACACTGGAGCTTAATAAATTGCTGAAGCTGATTGCCTAGCGAAGCGTGCCCTTGACCACTTACGGAGTTGCTTTTTGTCTTCGATGTTTTGGTACGGCAGTTTGCTTTTCTGTTTTCCCTTCCATCCCCCGGAAAAAAAAAAAAAAAAAAAGGTGGCGATTAGCGCGGTCTTAAAAAGTCAGGGTCTTTGCGCGCTATTTTCTGTCCACGTTTCTTTACATAATGCCACCCCAATTTTTAATACAAGTCATTTGTAACACATTTTTTCATACCAAACAGTGTATTAAATTAACAAAATTTTTCAAATTTTAATTCTATACTTACGAATTATTCTCATATCTCACTCTTATCTCTTTTTAGTAAAAATTAAATAAGAATAAAATTAAAAAAATAAATATTAAATGTATTATGAGTGGTGACTTATATTTAGGACTGGAGTGGTAATGATCAATTTACAAGGCCTAAGATTCTTAATTGCCAAAAAGAAAAAGATTGATCAGTAAACATGCCCTTACACAAGTGACAACCTGAGTTGGTAGCTAATATTTATTTTTGAGAGCCCATAAAATCTATAATTAGTAGGAGGAACATACAACTTTCCAATGTACTCAATGTACCAAATTGTTCACCATAATATTCCAAATTCATAATTATTTTGCAAATTAACCATATAAATTAGTTATATACTACTACTTCTGGTTCTTAACATAAGAGCTAGATAACTCATTTACAAAAATTAAGAAAATTAGTTAAGTTAGTTAGTTGTAATAAATGAGTGTTGTCTTCCCTAAAATATTCTTATTAATCATATGCATTAGAGTTATCAATGAAAACTCCTTAACAGATGTAATCACTTGGGGATTACTTGAGGAGAAATTGATAAATATAGGAGATAAAGTGAGTTGAGATCTTATTTAGAACCAAATTAAATATCTAACTAGCTTTTATAGTACGAACTGGAGGTAGTATATATGCTTCTTCTTAACAACCAAGGCACGTTTAGGAACATATGATTAAGATAAATTACAAAAGTTTCATTTAATCGAAATCTATTCAATATTACCATTCTCATTTTTAAAGTGCCAAAAATCTTTCCAGCAAGTAGACAGCAGCTTTCTTTCCTCTAACTTTTCAAAGAAGTGGAATACAGATAACAAGTGGGACTATAGAAGATTTCCTTTCTTTTTCTTTTGTTTTTGGATCTTTTTTTACTTTTTAATGGATGTAGTATAATTATAAGCCTTCTTCAATGAGTGTCGTGTGTATTGCTGAGCAGAGCATATCAACTTTCTTTTCTGCTTCAGATCAGCTCACCATTCTTGCGTGGTTCTGTTGTTTCTCGACTAAGTTTAAATGGCACAAGCAATTCATAATGAGATTAACTGGGAGATGCCTAATGGCATGAATCAACAAGACTTGGCCTCTGAGACTGCTCAACAATTGGTGGAGCTTACAAATTCATCCTCCAATTATTTGCAACAACAACACGTATTTATGCATCATTCTGAAGCCTTTTCTTGTTTTCACTCAACTTTCAGTTCTGAATACCTTGATATCTGTCTAAGGTTAAATGGCTATTATCAAAATCCTTGGCACAAAATGAAGGCAACTCTAAGACATGATTATTGTTGTACACCTTGGCAAATTGTTGCTTCTGTTCCTGCAATTGTACTCTTTCTCACCATTGTTCAAATCATATTTTCTATCCTCCAAGTAGTGAAGTAAATTGAAATCTTTGTATAATATTGGAATTTGATAATTGTGTCCCTCTGACGTTGTTATGACTGGCATGATATACTTGTGACTAGTGAAGCATTTCTTTTGGTACCAGGTTTTGTTGACAGCAAAAATTGCACCTTGCAGCCATAGAAATATGGTTCTACTCCTTATTTCATGTTTTGTTTAAATATTGGTTTACTATTGAGTTTATAAAAAATTATTATACACACAGAATGTGATTCATACACACACACACATGCTTATGGCCATGCATCCTTTTTGAAAATTCACATACTTCATAATAAACAAGAAAAATGTACGTATTCATTTGAATATTTCTTATTATAATTTGTTAATGCCAGAATGTTGTATTTACAAAGTGCCCCCTGAAATTCTTTTTTTTAAAAGAAAACAAGAAGAAGACTCTTACACCCAAATGATTATTGCGGTTGGTCTTCTTCATTATCACAGTGTGAAGGTGCAAAACATGGAAAGACACAAGAAATATTCTTCAAAACATATACATACACAAAAAGCTTTGATAGGTTTGGACGATATGGTGAGTTTTGTGAAGTATTCATCAGCGGCAAGAGTCTTTCTTACTCAAGAAACATCTACCTACACTACAAAAAATATAACTTTCAGTGACGACTTTTGGCAGCGATTTCAAAAGTCACCCCTGAAAGTTAGACTTTCTGCTATGACAAATAATGTCACCACTGACAGTCTGACTTTCAGAGGCGGCTTTTTGTGTTGCTACCAAAGGTTTTGAACTTCTGTAGTGACTTTCTATGTCATCGCTAAAGATTTTCACTTTCAATGGCGACAACCAATATCATCGCCAAAACTTACCAATTTTAGAGGTGACTATATTTTGTTGTCACTGAAAGTCTCCCCCCCCCCAAAAAAAATCATCATATTTTTGCGATAATTTTGTTCATGAATATTATATATTATCAATAAATAAAGTATTTTCACATATTAGTATGTTTAGAGTGAGAGGGTTTGAGAAATAATGTGATGTTGGTGCATTATTTTCGTTAGAGAGATAATGTAGAGTGGGTGAGATTGAGAGAGGGAGGATGAGAGGGGTTTTGCATAAGATATATGATATTTGTATTTTGTTTGGAGCGTTGGGGAGGTGAAGAAATGAATAATATATTTTCAAAAAAATCATCATATTTTTGCAATAGTTTTGTTCATGAATATAATATATTATCAATAAAGTATTTTCACATATCGATGTGTTTGGAGCGAGAGAGTTTGAGAAATAATGTGATATTGGTACATTATTTTTTGTTAGAGAGATGATGTAGAGTGGGTGAGAGTGAGAGGGAGGATGAGAGGGGATGTGCATAAGAGATATATGATATTTATATTTTGTTTGGTGTGTTGGGAGGTGAAGAGATGGATAATATATTTTCAAAAATTCATCATATTTTTGCAACAATTTTGTTCATGAATATAATATATTATCAATAAATAAAGTATTTCCACATATTGGTGTGTTGAGAGCAAGAGTTTGAGAAATAATGTGATCTTGGTGCATTATTTTTGTTAAAGAGATGATGTAGAGGGGGTGAGATGAGAGAGGGAGGATGAGTGGGGGTGTACATAAGAGATATATGATATTTATATTTTGTTTGATGTGTTGGGGAGGTGAAGAGATGGATAATAAATGTAAATCATATAATTAAGCCTATAAAAATTTAATAAATTTATCCTCAAGCCATATGGTATATTTTTTTCTTCACACCTTAATCAGGATATCCTCATAGATAGATTAGATCACATTTTTGTCTAAAAATGTATTAAATATATTGATAGGATATTATATAATTATTTAATATTATCTTAAAATATCAATATAAATCATACATTTATTCTAAAATTTCTAATAAATTAATAGTTAACAAATAAAAATAATAAAAGCTGAAAATATACGTAAAAATTTAGATGAAAAATAAATTTTTCAAGCAATGAAAAAAATACATGACGTAATCTGTAAATGACTTTTTTAGTTTTAATAATAATTTTTATTCTTAATTAATATGTTAAATAATATTATAAACTGAATAAAAAATGTATTGAATGTATTATATTTCATTCACTACATAAATACTTTAATTTATTTAAGAAGAATATTATAAATAGTTTATCAATATATATTAAGATATAAGATATAATATTAATATATATTTACATAATATTTATAATATATACTAATATTAACATATACGTTAAAATATGTATACTTTAAAATATTTATACAATAATATATATTTATGTCAAATATATATTAATAAATATATATTATGA